GTTATTCCTAGAAGTCCCAGTGTTGAACCAGGGTTGTGTTATGGTAGGGGCTGTACAAACAGAACCAACTGATCTGTCCCAAAGATCTTGATTAACTTCCACCGGTATTCCCCAGATATGAAGTCAGGGGGGTCGTCATCCTTCTTTTGTGCTGAAAGGGTGAATAATTTTGTTTGAAATTTTGCTGAACTATTGTTCCTGGGTCTGCAGAGGTTGATTTGAGACAGGCTCAATGGAAGCATTCAGAAAATGAGGCCCTCTTGAGTTAGATTATCAGGGTGCGTCAAAATAACTTATTTTGAAATAAAATTAACTCCCCAAATAATAATTTAGAAATAGCGTGTCCACACTATGGGGAAGCCTCAAAATTAGTCCAAGGCAGGCTCTGTTAACATGGACGTGCTACCTCGGACATGGAGCCCCAGGAATCACTGGCAAGTAATTAGTTTGAATTACTCTGGGGAGTAGTTCTTTCGAAATAGTGGCACTGGAAGCGTCCACACTACCATTTCGAAATTAGTGTTATTCCTTATTCCTTGTTATTTTGAAATAACAGGCTTGGGAGTGTGGACGTGCCACTTGTTGTTTCAAAATAAGGGGAGTTATTTCGAAATAGCTCCCTAGTGTAGACCAGGGCTCAATCTCAGTGGTTGCTGCCCTACTGAAACAAAAGGGGCATTTCCCATCTCTTCCCTGAGCTGTTGTTTCAGGCTCTCTGCAGTCTCAGGAAAACACATGTCTCATCACCACATAAAGTGATTTTTCCCCCCAGAGCAGTCATGGCTAGAAACATACATGCATATTTTAATTAAAGCTAAATTTTGTGCGGGAATGTAACAGCCCAACAAAGAAAGTGCAAAAGGGTGTGACTCTGGCTGGTTCCAGCTAGGCTGTAGAATAAAGAGGCAATTGAGGGATTTTTAGGATGGACTGATTTTTTTAACTCCATGTGGGAGATCTCCTCTGGGTCAGTGGTTCTCAAACTTTTTGGCCTGTGGCCCACCTGGCCCAAAGCAAACCTTTGCGTGGAAAGTTGCTAATGGAAACTCGCTGTTAATTACACAATTACGCCCGAGCCATTTTGCTAGTGCTGCAGGGAGAATGGTTTAATTTAAATTATTAAAACAGATTAAGCGGGTTAAATTTCTCATGTTAATTTATCAAACTTAATTTTAAATAAAGTATAATATTAATTTATGTCCAACACTAGAGGTTTCAATGTTTTTTTTATTTATGGCAGGGGTGGGGAACATTTATTGGGTCGGAGACCACAGACCCACAGAAAAATCAGTTGGTGGCCACACAAGTGAGAAGCAAACAACTCCTCCAAAACTTCCCAGCCTTAACTAATGTGGCCTCCAACTGAGACACCTCACTCCTCTGGCACTTCAGCCCCACAAGGCAAGGGGGAGGGGCAGGGAGGACTGAGGTTCAGGGCTTCCCATAGGCCAGATTTACTCTTCTAAGGTTCCGAGGTTAGTGGATTTTGTAGACCCCCGTTGGCTTTGGGGTGGGGACAAAAACTAGGGGTTCAGTGTGCAGAACAGGCTGCCAGCGAGTGGTATCGGGATGGGGGTGCAGGATCTGGGTGGGAGATGGGCTGTGAGAGTATGTCTACACTACCCTCCTAGTTCGAACTAGGAGGGTAATGTAGGCATACCGCACTTGCAAATGAAGCCCGGGATTTGAATTTCCCGGGCTTCATTTGCATAAGCCGGGCGCCGCCATTTTTAAATGTCCGCTAGTGCGGACTCCGTGCCGCGCGGCTACACGCGGCACAGACTAGGTAGTTCGGACTAAGCTTCCTAGTCCGAACTACCGTTATTCCTCATTCCACAAGGAGTAACGGTAGGTCGGACTAGGAAGCCTAGTCCGAACTACCTAGTCTGTGCCGCGTGTAGCCGCGCGGCACGGAGTCCACACTAGCGGACATTTAAAAATGGCGGCGCCCGGCTTATGCAAATGAAGCCCGGGAAATTCAAATCCCGGGCTTCATTTGCAAGTGCGGTATGCCTATATTACCACCCTAGTTCGAACTAGGGTGGTAGTGTAGACATACCCTAAGAGGGGATGAGGGTGGGTGGGAGGTAGGGTGCAGAAACAGGCTGGGAGTAGGGTGTCTGGCCAGGAGGGGAGGGGGCAAGAGTGAGGGAAGGTGCAGGAGCAAGGTGTGGGTAGGGTGTCTGCCCAGGAGGGAAGATTCAGGAGCAGGCAGGGGGTAAGGGTGTTTGGGCAGGAAGAAGGGTGCAGGAGTTGGGATGTCTGGTCATAGGAAAGGGTGGAGGAGTGAGCTTGGGGTTTCGGGGGTGTGTGTGAGAGGGGTGGGGATGCAGACTCAGGGCAGGAGGGAAAGGGGGGAACTTACTTGCCTTCACTCCTCTCACCATTTGTAGGCATCGTGTCCCAGCCATGGCCTTCTGCTGCTCCCATTGGCTGGAATCAGGCCAATGGGAGCAGTGGGGAAAGCCTCCAAGCAGCGCATCCATGTGCTGTTGTTCCCGCAGCTGGCGGGGGGTGGGGCGGGAGGAGCCACAGTTCGTGGAGCCGCTCCTGGCTCCATTTCTTCCCTGCGAGACGGATCTGGCAGGGAGGCTCGGGACTTTATCCCCCCTCCCGGGAAGTCAGCTCTGGCGATCCAACCTCACAGTGAGGAGAGGGGCGTGTGAGGCTGCAGCGTGCGCATGGGTTCCCTGCTGTGGGGAGAGGGAGGAAGGAAGGAAGGGCTTAGCTCGAGCCACGGACCACTTAGAAGGCGGCAGTGAACCACTAGCGGTCCGTGGACCCTAGTTGAAGAACCACTGCTCAAGGCAAAGGAAGGAAACATAGGCCATGGGACTGAAGCATGCTTTGCATGAGTCATGGCAGCATCTTAATTCTTTTGAAATTGGATCAGGCTCTAATGATGATCAGACCCTGGTTCGGCAGCAGAGGCTATGTGGACCTGCAGGGCTGGGAATCAGCGTGGCAGACTGCAGTGTCCTTTGGTGACTTCCAGTCCTTTGTTGGAAGCCTGTGCGTACACATGCATCCCTGCGATGACCCAGTTCCTCCCTATTCCTTGTCATCCCACCCTTCCCTTCAGAGGGCCCTGAGGAAGAACAGGCCTCTCGAGGAGATAAATATAGCCCGTAAACAAGAAAACAGGATGCATCCGCTGGTGATTTAAAAACAAACTTCAGGGCCGACGATCATCAGCCCGCCGGTTAGCTGGAGAACCGGATTCTCCTGCAAACATGCCTTGTGAACAGTTGAACGTGCACGGTTTGCAGCTCCGAGAACCACTGCTGGAGCGCAGGCACCTGTCGGTCAGTTTAACCCTTTGAAACAACTTCTTGGTGCTGTGGGGTCCAGATCTTACCTAGGATTACTGCAGGGGAATGAAAACAAAGGGAAACCTGGTCGATCGCAAAGCACTCGGCAGTCCCCATCGCACAGATGGGAAACTGAGGCACAGAGAGGCCTGAAGCCAGGTCTGCCGCTGGGGGTAAAGGGGGCAATTGCTGGTGATTCAAAAGGGCTTGGGACTAGTGGCAGTGATGGCAGCTGAAGCCCTTTTGAAGTGCTGCTCCATGGGGTGCTGAGGGGTGCTCGGGAGAGGCACGTCGTGCTCCAGGTGACACTGAGGCGCCCCCGAGGAGAGGTGAACCCAAGCTCCTCCCCTTTTGCCTGAGGCCCCGCCTCTTTCAGGAGTACGGCTTCCACCCCATCTTGCCCAGGGGCCTGGCGAGGCCCCTGCCTGTGACTTGCTTATGGTCTCACCGGGAGTCTGAGGTGAAGCAGGAAATTGAACTTGGGGCTCACAAATCTTACACTTGTGGGGGCCTCACCCCACTATCCTCCTCCTTCACAGATGCCCCCAGAATCTCTTCATGGGCCGGGGTGTGTGTGTGTGGGGGGGGGCGAAGTTGAGTCTCCCTCCAGAACTCTGTAATGACGTGGGGTAGGAACAGCAGTGCCGGGCCTAGGGTGGCTGTCCCGCTGTAGCAGATACCGACCGAGCTCAGATTGCCTGGCTAGCAGGGCCCTTTGGGCCAGGGTGGTAGCCTGTTGATGGAGGGGACAGGGTAGCAAGCCTGCGTTGCTGCTGCTGTACCTGTTGCGTGCGTGGCTCGCTGGGGAGGGCTGCAGACTGCCAGGAAGGAGAGACGAGGCTTGGAAGGCAGCCGAGCAGCGGGTGCCTTGGATTGCCAAGAAACGAGCTGAGGAAGTGCAATCAGGGTGAGGAAACGGCCCCTGTGTGCTCCTCAGGCCGGGCCAGGAGCGGTGGTGGATGCAGCGGGCGCTTAGCAACCCAGGGTGGGGGAAGAAGCAAATACAATTCTGGGATGAGTAAACAGCGCCAGAGAAAAACGGATGCTCGCCCAGTGACAGGAAAGAACGAGGCCAGGCTTGGAACGTGCACTCTGGAACAGGTGCCGGCTGCTGGAGCCCACCTGGGAGGCATGTTTGCCCCTCGCGTAGATTTGCTCTGCACAGAAGCCAGTGATGTTCTCCATCCCTCCCCCTCATGTGGAGGCTAGATGGGCAGGGCTGAACTGGACAGGCCGGGAAGCCTGTGGCTGAGGCATGGACGGAGCAGGAATGCACTGTGCAGAAAGGTGTGTGAGGCCAACCCTCTGCCTTAGCCCAGTTTGGGAACCCGGCTCTGCTGTCTTCCCTAGGCATCCTCAGTTCCCTTGTCGCAATTCAGGGCCCTGCCCCGCGGCACGAGAGAAAGTCTGCTCCTGCTCCATGTCCCCGCACAGAGCTGGGTGCTTGCCAGCCCATAGAGACAGGCCCCCTTCCCGGGGGGCACTGCCTGCCACGTTTATTGCCACGCAGCTTGTAATGGCTCTGGCAATCGGCCCTCGGAGAGCAGGGCCTGGGGGTGAAGTACCTGGCAAAGCTGGACGTATGGTAACTTGCCTAGAGCGGCCTGAAGGGCTGGAGACACCGGGGAGAGCTGGGCCTGGATCAGAAAGAGACGCATGCTAAACACACTTCCTGTGTTTCCTGTTTAGTGACAGCGGACGCCCGTTCTTCCTATACCTCGCCCTGGCCCATGTGCACGTGCCCTTGGTCGTCGCTCAGCCTCCCTCCGGTTCCTCGTTCCCTGGGCCCTACCGAGCCAGCTTGAGGGAGATGGATGCCCTGGTGGGACAGATAAAGGACAAAGCTGCCAGCTGTGGGGCGGAAAACACATTCCTTTGGTTCACAGGTGAAGCACTAAGAGCCGCTGCAGTGATAACAGATCATCTCGATACCTGATATTTACTTACTGCTGGGCGGGCTGGCGAGGCAAGGGGCTCAGGGAAAGGGGTGAAGGGCAGCCACGTGCAGATGGGAAGCTGTTTTAGGGAGGGCCTTAGCACCCGGTTAAGAGCCAAAGTGTGGCTCCTGAGGGAGGAAGGACGCTTGTTCCTGGGTTCTGCCCGAGGGGGTGGATTCCATCCTCCATGAACTCTGCTCCTTTGTATTTGTCTGTGTGCTGAACAGTATGAAAGCCACAGGCCACGCTCTGCTCTCAGCCATTCTGGAGTGAAGCGGGAGCTGCTGCACTTCCCCAGTGCAGGATCTTTACGGAGCTGGTGTCTTCTGTTCCTATTTTCCTGTCTCATGTTTCCCTGCAATGTGCCCTTCCCCGACCGTTCTTAGAGCGAGGAGAACCAGCACGGGACAGGCCTATGTACGCCAAGATATTTGGGGGAGGGCAACAGGGGGAGAATAAGCCCCTCCCAGCCAAGTTTCAGGGAGTTGGGGAGCAAGAGGAGCTGCAGGCACAGGAGGGACAGAGGAGATTTGGTCAGTTGTGTGCCCCGACAATACTCAGAGCTGGTGCTGAGAATGCTGATTGGTGTCTGGCCTCAGGTGGGACCCCCAGACATGACGAAGAGTGACATGGTTTCTCAGAGGAACTGGCTCTCAGGGTCACCGTGAAACTTGGGGGACTCCTCTCCCCCTTGTAATTGGGGGGCTGTGGGGAACGGACACCAGGATCCCCAGAGATTTTCCCTGGGCTGTCCTGTTGGGTTGTAAACAGGAGTGGCTTGAGGCCGGCTGCGGCAGCTAGCTCCCCAGGCGGAAGGCGCGATTGGCGCCCCCGCCTGCATGGCTGTCAATAGCCGTGATGTCATCATCGGATGCCCCAGGCCAGCGGCGCGCTACGCGACCGCTTAGTCTGCCTAGGCTCACGGGCTGCCCCTGGTTGTAAATGCCTGGCTAGGTCAGACTGGTCAGACTCGCCCGCCTTGTGGTGTTGCCAGGAGGCAGGACTCCTCCAGGTGCTTTGTAGGCAAAGTTTGGGCCTCACAGGGCTGTGCTGCTCTGTCAGACTTGGCCGGTCCCTTCCCTCAGGCAGCTTGTTTTCCAACCCGTCTTCCCCCGCCCCAGGCGGCCCCGCTTCAGGCAGATGGATGAACCTGGACATCCGTGTCTACCAATTAAACCTCAAATCCCCATTAATTAAAAAGTCCAAATCCGCTCTTGCTGAGATGCCTTCCTAACGAGGAGTTCTTGCTTCATTACCCTTCCGAGGACAGGAACAGCTCCACGGCTCATTAATGCTGAAGCCAATTGCTATTGTCTCCCCCCACTTCCCCGTCTTAGACTCAGTCCCCTGAGTGGAAGTTCAGCCCCCTGGAGAAAATATGGCCTTGTTATTTGGCAATAAACTCCATGGTGGTCAGCAGTATAGCGAGTCCTCAGTCAAGCGCCTGCTGAGGTAAAAGGCCATCAAGGTGCTGGAGAGGAGGGGAGCAGGACATTGCTTGCCGGGGAGCAAAGACCTGACGCAGCAGCTCCCCGCTTCCCCCCAAACATCAAGGGGCTCTGTCTGGAGCACCCTTGATTGCCACCGGCCACCAGACAATCTGCTTTGTGGAAGCTAGTGAGACTGGGCCTTCCTCACTCAGTTTCCCAGATCGAAATCAGAGTCACTCTTCGGTTTGACGCAGCTGATCTGAGTTTACGCCTGTGGGCTGGAGACTGGCGTTTCTCCCGTGGCCTCCGCAGTCCGACGCATTCACTCTGTGTCAGTCCAACTTGCCTGTCTCTGGCTGTTTCTCACGCATGGTGTTTATCTCCCCTCCAGGAGACAACGGCCCGTGGGCTCAGAAGTGCGAGCTTGCAGGGAGCGTGGGCCCCTTCTCCGGGGCCTGGCAAAGGCAACGAGGTAACTTGTGAGGCTGCTGGCAATGCCGTTCGTGTCTCGGTGGCTGTCACAGGCCACCTGTTGGGAATGGGGAGCGACCTCTTCCTGGAAGGCCCTTGTTCAGATCTGGCCACCAAGCAGAAGGGAGAGAGAAGATATGTCCCTGCCTCTGGCAGAATTCACTCCCATCTGCCTGGCTACAGCGAGGCCCTTGCCAGCGTGGTTCACTTGCAGAGCTCCAATCGCGTTGCCTGCAGAGTAGATCAGCTAATACTAAGTGGCAAGTGTTTCCCCAAAACATCCCGAGGCATCAAGCCGAATGAAGGCAAACTTGGGCCCTGGGCACATGCCCAGGGAGCCTCCTGGCCCCTCCACCATGCCATGGCTCGACTCCTTCTTACCCAGGTAACAGCCTTCAGATGGCTGGATACGTTCACACCTCTTGGAGCTGTTGGTTTAAGCTGCCTGCAGACTCAGGCAGGCAGTGTTCCTGCGTGACTCACATTTTAAGCTTTTCTTTTATTGCACAACATCATTTTTTAACTGAGCCCCTTGGTCTGGGCCTATGGTGTCATCTACTCTAGTGTCTAGGGCAGTGTTTCTTAAACTTTTTAAGAGGGAAGAACACCAAACAATAATTTTTTTTATGAGGAACACCGAGAACTTTTTGTTGAGCAAAAAAAAAAAAAAAAACGGCCGGGGATTCATGTTGGCAGATGGTAGTAATCCCTTATTCTGAAGAGCCTTATTAGATAACAATGTACTTCTTTTTATTAACAGAATCTGCAAGATAGTTTGTAGGTTCCCACAACAACTTACCTCTTTCCTTTTGCTCCATTTATCACATTTGCAGTGTAGAATGTCTAATGTCATACACGAAACATGAAGGGATGGGTGTTGGGGGGGGGGGGGGGGGGGGGGAAGTCTCCTGTCCCTTTAAGGGTAGCCATTTTGAACTCTGTTGTTCTCCGTGGCACACCGCCGACTGCCTTGCAGCACACCGGTGTGCCATGGAACACAGTTTAAGAAACACTGGTCTAGAGAGAGAAAAAACTATTGTCTGTGGCCCTGATGGAGAAGGATGCTGGGAGATGCATATAAAAGGTCTTCAAGTCCACCCAGCTCTTGAGAGGACCCACACCGAGACTTATGCTCTCTACTGAGAATTATTCTAGAGCTTGGATGTTGTCCCGGAAATGCTGAGCTCTCTCTGACTTCTGTAGGAGTTAAAGGGTGTTCCAGGTTTTTGGAAATCAGGCCTATAAAAGTGTATATCATTCTAAGCCCTCCAGTCTAACTGTATGGAGGTTTTAAGTGTTGCTGTCCCCAAGGGAGCCATCTGTGTGGTGGGTTTGATTATTTATATGGAAGCAGCCAAAAGTCTCCAGCGTGACTCAGGCTTTTCCTGCGTCTGCGTCCCATGTTATACACTATCAATATGTGTCAGCTTACATTTCCCCATTTGCTCCAGGACGGAAGGGGAGGGGGCAGTAAGTGAGACAGCATCTCTTTCCGCCTCTGTTTCCTGACACCTACCAAATATAGTAGAGGCCTGGAAGGAAACTGACATAGGATTCTGAGAAAAGGCTGCTTGAGGGGCTGACCTGTGCCTTGCCTCTTTTTGCAATACTTTCTTGGTTATTTTGTATCGCTGCTTTTTTCTCCAGAATCAGCAAATCCGGGTTGTAGGCTCTCTTCTGACCTAATGAAAAAAATACATCGTTAGCCATATCCCCGCACACTTGTGCACAGCCAAGTGTCTGCTAATGACTGGCAGCCTAGCCCTGACTAGCAGCTTTACAATAACAAACCAGGACTAGCCATCCACTGCTCACTGACAACCATACCCACCAGTGGATAAATACCACAGAAAGGGGAGCAATTCCCTAAGGATAGCAAAACACCTGGCAGCAGCCGAGATTTTAAAAATCCCTCTGGGTATGTCTACACTACAGCGCTAATTCGAACTAACTTAGTTCGAATTAGTTAATTCAAACTAAGCTAATTCGAACTAACGCATCCAGACTAAAAAACTAGTTCGAATTAGCATTTTGCTAATTCAAACTAGCATGTCCACATTAAGTGGACCCTGAACCGGGGTTAAGGATGGCCGGAAGCAGTGCCGGCAGGGCATCAGAGGAGGACTTAGAGCGTGGAGATGCTGTCTTAGGCTAGCCAAAGGCTGTGCTTAAAGGGACCCGACCCCTACCCCGGACAGACAGTTCTCAGGGGGGCCCCGCTTGCCAAGC